ATGTCACTTGACATTATCGATACTCTCAGAAGGTTTTTCCTGCTGATCCCAACACTTAGAGTACAGAAAGCATATTCTGTATTAGCATCATTGATTAGAAACCTATGATGAGCTGATTATGTTCACAGAGACAGGAGAAAGATTACTGTAAAATAATAAAAACATTTTTTAAAAATATATTTTATTGATTTTTTACAGAGAGGGAGAGAGAGAGAGAGCTAGAAATGTCGATGAGAGAGAAACATCGACCAGCTGCCTCTTGCACACCCCCCACCGGGGATGCGCCCGCAACCAAGGTACATGCCCTTGACCGGAATCGAACCCGGGACCTTTCAGTCCGCAGACCTATGCTTTACCACTGAGCAAAATCGGTTTAGGCAATAAAAACATTATTTGTTTGTTTGTTTATGTTAACCCTCACCTTAGGATATTTTTTCCATTGATTTTAGAGAAAGTGTAATGGTGGGAAAGAGGGGATAGGCAGGAGAGAGACAGAAAGGATGAGAGAGTGAGAAGCGTCCATGTGAGAGAGACACATGGATTGGTTGCCTTCCCTGCAACCCAGGCGTGTGCCCTTGACTAGGAATCAAATTGCACTTTAACCACTGAGCACACCACCTATGGCAATAATAACAGCATTTTAAAGAATCAAAAGAATTAATGAGGGGGCGGGAGGTGGTTGGGGAGAGGTCAATGAAGGGAAAAGGAGACTTATGTAAGATATTAAACAATAAAGAATTTTAAATAAAAAACAAGCAAAACTATTTTCATAATAATATAAAAAAGAATTCATGAGTGGCTGCTACTATTAGTTGAGCATTTTTGATGTAATGAGACTTATCTTATTCCTTGTGGTAAGTGCTATTTCCCCATTTTACATAAGAGAAAAGGTGCAAGATTATTTTTTTTGCCCAGCGTTATATGGAGTGATGAGCTAAAGTGCTTGACATCAAAGCTTTTCTTCCACTTTACTGAGCTGCCTTCTAGGAAGTCACAGGGAGAAATATAATTTTATTGAATGAAATAAAATCGATCTTAAATAAATTTACCAGTCTGTGCCTTGTTTTAATAATCCTATATAATAAAAGCCTAATATGCTAAGTGTCTGGTTGTTTGGTTGGCGATTCAACCAATCGAAACATAATATGCTAATGATGCTAAGGCTGCTCAATCACTAACTATGACATTCACTGACCACCAGGAGCCAGATAGTTGACCGGTTGACCAGTCACTATGATGTAAACTGACCAGCAGAGGGTAGCTTGCTGCTGGTGTCCGGCTGATCAGGACTGAGCAAGATAGGCTGGACACACCCTAGAGCCCTCCAGTGGTCCCTCCCTGGCTAGCCAACCTCTTGCGTCCCTCCCCTGCCCCAATTGTGCACGGTGGGATCCCTTGTCCTGGTCTGAGCCCTGTCACAATCCGAGCTGTGGACCTCCCCTGTCCCCCTCGAGTGCCAGAAATTTTTGCACCAGCTCTCTACAATATATTCTGGAGGTCACTTTACCTAGTATATTGTTTTAATCGTGCATTGCAGACCTATCTAAAAATGACAAAGTACTTCCAAAAAGGAAAACACAGATGGTTAAAAATAATAGTAGATTAAGTGGATGCGCATGGACATGCTCACAAGACCAATTTGGGTAATTCCAATGTGCACAAATTTGTGCATTGGGCCACTAGTTAAAAATTCCAAAATACAGAAAAACTTCCTGAATAATCAATAGGAGATTTCTCTGGAGAGAACCCTGATAACCGAGGACTGCAAATGGAGACTGCATAAAGACTGGTAGAAGGGGTGGAGGAGTGAAAGGGCTGGCCAGGCCCCCACAGTCAGCAACTGAAGTTCCAGAGAGATATCTCTCAGTACAGGGTGTTGCCACTGAGAACACTGGGATCTAATCCCCAAGTTGTGCCCCCCAGTGGAGAGCATAGGTACTGAGATGGGCATCCACATAACATCGTGCTGTAAAAAGCAGCGGGGTTGCTATCTACCAGGGGAAGATGGCTGAAAATTCAGGCACCCTCTTATAGGGACAACAGATAAAATTCCCTGTTAAGCCACTCACCTTGTGCTCCTGCAGAGGAAGGGCAGAGTGGAATGGAACTCTGTGAGCAGAAGCCAGGATCAGGGGCTCTGGGTTAGAGCTCAGAAGGCAGACACCCTGATCTTCTGTGCTGAGTCATTCATGCTGTGGAGGTCATGTTTCTCATGCAGACATTTGCTATCCAGGTGAGGCTGGCCCCAATCACATGCATGTGTTTCCATCTGTCATTGATTGTGAATTTGGTTGAAACTTCTATTATAGTGAAAGGGTGAATTGCAACATTAAAATATTTCTTCTAATTAATTTCCTTTCAATGTGCACAAATTTGTGCATTGGGCCACTAGTTAAAAAACAAAAAAGACAGCTTAAGGGAGTTGTGGGATAATGAGAAACATAATATTTGATTAGCAGGTGTGCCAGAAGTGGAAGAATGGGATAAAGGGATGAAGAACATGTTAGTAGAAATAATGGCAGAAATTTTCCCTAACTTGGTAAAGGAAAAAGTCACACAATTCTGGGAGGCACAGAGAACCCCAAGCAAGAAGAACCCAAACAGGCTCATTCCCAGACACATCATCATTAAAATACCAAAAATTAAAGAAAGTATCTTAAAGATAGCAAGAGAAAAGCAAGTTGTTACTGACAAAGTAACTCCCATAAGGCTGACACCTGATTTCTCATCAGAAACTCTACTGGCCAGAAGGGAATCCCATGAAGTACCCAAAGTAATGGAAAGCAAGGATCTGAAACCAAGATTACTATGTCCAGCAAGGCTATCATTCAAAATAGACGGTCAAATAAAGTTTCCCAGACAAAATAGGCTAAACACCACCACCAAACCTGCAGTACAAGAAATGTTAAAGGGACTGCTGTAATGAGAATTAGAAACAGAGAGAAACCTAGGCATTCAGAATTAAAATGGCAATAAGTAGCTATCAACAATAACCTAAGTGTAAATGGATTAGAGGCTCCAATCAAAAGATATAGGGTAGCTGAATGGATAGAAAAACAAAACATTACCCAGCTATATGCTCTCTGTAAGAGATCCACTTCTGAACAAAAGACACATACAGGATGAGAGTGAAGGAATGGGAAAAAATTTTACATGCAAATGGAAAAGAAAAGCTGGGGTAGCAATACTCATATCTGACAAAACAGACTTCAAAATGAAGTCCATGCCAGTGACAACAGAGGTCACTCGACAAGAGGATATAACTTTGGTAAACATGTATGCAACGAATATAGGAGAACATAAATATGTAAAAAAAATTCTAGAGGACTTTAAGGAAGGAATGGACAACAATACAGTCACAGTAGGGAACTTTAATACCCTGCTGACTTCACTGGATAGTTCTTCCAGAAAAAACAAAAAACAAAAACAAAAAAAACTTAAGGAAACAGAGACTCTAAAGCAGGCGTCCTCAAACTTTTTAAAGTGGGGGCCAGATCACGGTCCCTCAGAGAGCTGGAGGGCCGGACTATATGAACTACTAATTCCTACTGTAACACCTCCGCTGCGCTCACTGCCCAAAAAACCTGGCGGGCCGGATCAGACTCCTCTGCGGGCCGCATGTGGCCCGCGGGCCGTAGTTTGAAGACGCCTGCGAGTCTAAAGGATACACTGGATCAGATGGATTTAATTAACATTTGTAGAATATTTCACCCCAAAGTAGCAGAATATACATTCTTCTCAAGTGTACATGGATCATTCACAAAGTTAGAAAACATATTAGGACACAAAACAAGTCTACAAATTCAAGAAGATGGAAACCATATCCAGCATCTTCTCACATCACAATGGAATGAAATTAGAAATCAACTACAGTAAACACATCAAAAAACATTCAAATTCATGGAGACTAAATAGCATGTTGTTAAATAATGAATTGGTTACCAATGAGATAAATAAAGAAATAAAATTACTGGGAAAAAGTTAACATGAACACTTAACCTCAAATCTCTGAGACAGCAAGATCATTCTGGTAAGGTAAGTTCAGGGCACTACAGGCCTACATAATAAAACAAGAAAAAGCAACAATAAACTAACCCTACAACTTAAAGCTGTAGAAAGATAACATTAAGCAAAGCCCAGAGTAAGTAGAACAAAGGAGTAAAATAAAGATGAGATAAATGACATAGACTAAAAAAAAACCCAAAAACAACAACAAAAAAAAACACTATAAAAAATTGATGAAACCGAGACTTGTTTGGCTCAATGGATAGAGCGTCAGCCTGCGGACTTAGGGGTCCTAGGTTCCATTCCAGTCAAGGGCATGTACCGTGGTTGCGGCCACATCCCCAGTAGGAGGTGTGCAGGAGGCAGCTGATCGATGTCTCTCATCGATGTTTCTAACTCTATCCCTCTCCTTTCTTCTCTGTAAAAAAATCAATAAAATATGTTTTTAAAAAATCAATAAAACCAATAGCTGGTTCATTGAAAGGATAAGTAAAATTGATGAACCATTAGCCAAACTCATGAAGAAACAGAGAGGACCAAAAACGAAAGCAAAGAATTGTAAGTACATACTATATTCCAAGAAGCTGGACAATGTGGATGAAATAAACATATTTCTAGAAAAATATAATCTCCCAAAAGTGAGTCAGGAATAATCAGAAATTTTGAATAGGCCAATAACTGATGAAATAGTAGCATGGCAGGGGCACATACCCAGGTTGTGGCCTCGATCCTGATCGGCAGAAGGCAGCCGATCAATGATGAGGGGACAGCCTGCATCAATAGTTTTATATTCAGATTGACCTGAGTTCCAATCATACTTCTCCATAGTAGTGATATAACCTATCCAAGCTTCACCTTTATCATTTTTAAATATCACCCAGCCCCCTGGCTTTGATAATTTAATTTTATATTTGTTACTTAATAGTTAAAATACTACCCATATACTAATGGCTTATCTCTACCTCTGTCAATAATAATCTTTCTGTTGGTTTCAGGAGTTCAACAAGATGTTGCTTCACAATCTCTGGATCAAGAAGTTTTATTAAAAGTTAAAACTGAAATTGAAGAAGAGCTAAGATTTCTGGACAAAGAAATTTCTGAAGGTCTCTTTATTCTTATTTTCCTAGTTAATTAGAAGATTCTGTTTGATTTGGTTTACTGTTGGTTTAATTTGTTTTTTTACAGTGGAGTGTTCTCAACATTACACAGCTTCATTGGTATAGGATTATAAAGGTGAAATTAGTGATTACTCATTTTTCTTTCTTTGGGGGATATGTTTGTAAATTTTTCCTAACTGTACCACTAGTTGGCGACCACTGCTATATATACAATAGTTTTAATAGTAATATAGATGTAATTTTATAGCCATATGTTTTGTACTTAACATTATGTCATAAACTTTAAAAATTGTTATCATTGTGGTAACTAAATTATATTTGATGTATTGAATGACTGTTCAATCATTCCTTTATTATTGAGGAGAGCATTTAGCTTATTTTGAATTCACAATATTAGCATGTACCCTGACCAGGAATGGAACCAGTGACCTTTCAGTGCAGCGACTTTTCAGTGCATAGGATAATGCTCAACCAGCTAAGCCAAACTGGCCAGGACCTAGTACAAGTTTTTGTGTGGATATATATTGCCCAATAATTGTTTAAAAAAGTATATTCTTTGGCGACAGGACTGGATCGCTGGGGCTCAGGCGGTGCCTCTCTGTGGTGGCCCAGCCTGGCTCTGGCCCCAGCCGGGGCGATGCTCCTTGAGGCTGCAGGATGTGCCAGTGACTCTGCTGGCCTGGGCATGGCAGACCCAGTGGCGAGCATTGCAGGCTCGGCAGCCAAGAGTGTGAGGCCATTCCGCTTGAGCGAGGCCTATGTGGAACCCATGAAGGAGGACTTGGCCGAGTGGTTCAATGTCTTGTATGGCCTGGGTCTCCCCGGGGGGGGGGGGGTGATGGCTTCCTGATGGGACTGGCCACAGGCACTACTCTGTGACAACATGCCAACGCTGTCACTGAGGCTGCCCGCACTTCAGCTGTTGCCTGTCCTACCCGAGGTGTGGCCTTCCAGGCTCCTGGGAGAGGAGTTCCTGGCCAACACCTAGCCCTTGAGGCTAATGCTGGTGGAACCCCCATTGGACCAGCCCCTGACCCAGCTCAGGCCCCAGATACTCCAGACCCTGATTCATCCTACTGTTTCTCCAGCTCCTCCTCTTTGTCCTCAGTGTTCTGGGTGGCAAGTGTGGCCAACCAGGAGACTCTGGCCGGATGGCCAATGGGCTGCCTGGGTGCTGGGGTCCAGCCCTGTCCAGCTCTTCCAATGAAGGCAGCCCCTGCCCTGGTGTGTGTGGGGGCAGCCAGATGCATCTGGAAGTCACCTGGCTGGCCCTGAGTCCCCAAGGACATGGGCGTGGGGCCGGATGGACACACAGCCAGACCGGAAACCCTCATGAATTCCCACGCCTTGGGGCCCCCACTGCCCATCTGAACCCATGATGCTGGGGGCCTGGCATGCCCTGCACTCAGTCAGCCCCAGGGTGGAGCTGGATTCCTGGATGTGACAGACCAGCACATTCCCTACTGGGGATATGCCCGCAACCAAGGTACATGCCCTTGACCGGAATCGAACCTGGGACCTTTCAGTCCCCAAGCCGACGCTCTATCCATTGAGCCAAACCAGTTTCGGCAACATTAAATTTTTTTAAAAAAATCCTCATCCAAGGATAAGTTTAGAGAGAGGAAGAGTGTGAGAGCATGTGAGCGATGCTTGTTCACCATGGCTCAGTGGTTGAGCGTCGACCTGTGAACCAGGAGGTCAAGGTTCTATTTCTGGTCAGGGCACATGCCAGGGTTGCAGGCTCGATTCCCAGTGTGGGGCGTTCAGGAGGCAGCCTTTTAATGATTCCCTTTCATCATTGATGTTTTTATCTCTCTCCCTTTTCCTTTCTCTCTGATATAGATAGATAGATAGATAGATAGATAGATAGATAAATGATAGATAGATAGAGAAACATCGCTCAATTGCCTTCTGTATGTACCCTGACCAGAAGTTGAACCTGCAACCGTTTGGTGTACGGGATGATGCTGCAGTCAACTGAGTCACCTGGCCAGGGTCTTTAACAACATTTTTTTCCAGAGTAGTTTATTGATCTTTAGAGAGAGAAGAAGGGAGAAGAGAGAAACATCAGTATGGGAGTGTAACATCCATCGCTGCCTCCCACATACCCCAACCATTATTTTTAGCTGACTAAAATTCCAATTCTATTTTAAGTCTTTGTCTACTTCTGGTGGCAGTGCTTATACAAGTAAAATGGGGAAAAGGTCAAAAGAAGAAAAACAACAAAGGCTTAATTGCACTCACCTTATTGAAACCCTTGTATTAACCAAGACTGAACATTATAATGGGCATCCTCAAGCTTGCTCAGACAACAACATATTTGTGAACTTTGCAGCCATTTTTATCTTTCATGCACTTTATAAAGAAACAGTATACTTAACAGCCTTCTAGGAGCAAGCCTTAGATTAATACAATAAATACTTTATGGAGATTATTGATAACTCTTGTGAGTGGGTGTAGTAAGCTGCTTACTTTACTGGGATTCTGTGCCCTGAATCCTGTTTGTACCTTGGAACAACAATGATTCTGCCTGTTTTTCTGCAGTTTGAGAATGGCTAAGTCAGTATAACATTGAGTTAAGAAACAAATGAAAAGCTGGTGGTTTGAGCTGAGGAGAACAGGCTATGATGACTCTCCATGTGCTATTTGTCAACTTGTATAATCTTCAGAGTTTTAACATTTATTCATGGAGTTAAGAAGTTCAATTTAAAAAGGGAATGGAAGTAATTGACTCGTTTTCTGAAGGGGAATAAGCTGATTTGAGTCTGGTTCTGGTTTAAGAAGTGCCACATTGCCCTAGCCAGTTTGGCCTGTGGACTGAAGAGTCCTGGGTACGATTCTGATCAAGGGCACATGCCTGGGTTGTAGGCTCCATCCCTAGTAGTAAGGGGTGTGCAGGAGGCAGCCAATCAATGATTCTCTCTCATCATTGATGTTTCTATCTCTCCCTCTCCTCTCTGAAATCAATAAAGATATATTTGTTAAAAAGTGCTACATTTATAAAGGTAAAAACAAAAGCTTAAAGGAAAATATTAAGAGAGGTATGATAGATCTAGCATAGGGGTGTCGAACTCAATCAGAGAAGGGGCCAAAATCTAAAATCCAGCCTAAATCGCGGGCCGAATGGTTTACTGAACAGTCATAAACTGTCATTGTGATGGAAACGCAGCGGAGTGCAGTGATGACAGCGCGGTGCGGGCCACATTGCAAGGCCTGGCGGGACGGATTTGGCCCGCGGGCCTTGTGTTTGACACATGTGATCTAGCAGTTGCCTCATTATCATGCTTATATCACATTGGTCTATAATAATGCACTAAATTGGTTTGTATATTTTAACATTTCAGTTTAGTCATTTTCTTATGGAACCTAAGATTTTCCATAAATATCTTTCCTCAAAACAAAATCTCTAAATATAGAACGTATCCAGGAAAGATTAATATCTTTTAGTAATTATCTGACCTCTATACGTGACTTATTGCTTAGCTCATCCTTAGTAGCAGTTGCCTTAATCCCCTAAGCTTTTATAATACTTATTAAATTAGATTTTCTTTTGCCCTGTCTTAGCCTTCACCAACATAGGTTTTGACCAGCACACGTCTCCAGTGTTCAGCCCTGCTAACCCAGTAGAACACTGCTTGGCTCATCTTGGAGAAAGAGTGTCCCAGGAACTGAAAGAGCCTCTACATAAGGCATTGCAAATGCTCCTCAGCCAGTGAGTTACCATTGCTTTTCTAAGTAGTCTTCTGCACTGGGTTGGTTAAAGCTTTGTTTTATGTAAACGGTGTAACTTCTTTTATCACTTACTTTTTTTCACTCTTTTCTTCTCTTGATTTTCCAAAGATCTCTGTTTATGTTTTGAGTGACAATATTTGCATCAAAGAAGTGATTTAACTATACGAACATGGATTTAACTATTTGTATTTTCTTGTTGAGCTGTCAGGTTTCAGCAAATACTTTCACTGAGTAAATAAAAGCAATAAAATTACTTTTACTACCATTCTCTAGTGACCAACACAAATATACTGTATTTTTGGACCATAAGACGCTCCGGACCATAAGACGCACCAGTTTTTAGAGAAGGGAAATGAAGAAAAAAAGATTCTGAAACAAATAGTGTCCTAAAATATTTTATGTTCATTAAAACCCAACATCACAGTCATAAACACATGTAATCAACCCTGTAAAGTAAACAGCAGCATTTAGAACCATTTTAGAGCTGGGCAAGCACACAGAGACCACACACTTTTTTTTTTTTAAAGTATATGTGTAGGCTATATTTGGACCATAAGACGCAGGGACTTTTCCCCCCCACTTCTGGGGGGGAAAAGTGCGTCTTATGGTCCGAAAAATACGGTAATGGCTCAGGTTTTATGTCTTATAATTTGGGATTAACATTACATCTGTATTTTAGGTATCCCAGATGTTGCTGTACTTTGGGATTGTACCATCTGCTCATGGAACTACTGCTACATTCTTATAATGTGAACTCAGCTCCTAACTATGGTTCTGACTCTCTCTTTCCTCCTCCCTCCCTTAAAGCTAAAGGCAAGAGGTTTATAGTGAAAGTATATTAAAATAGAACCACATCTTTATTATAAATCTTAAAAATTCATTTTTCCTAATTTTTACTGAGAATCATTAAGGAATTGATATGAATTAGAAAAAACATTTGTTTTAATGAATGTTGACAACTATCTAAAACAGGATGACATCTCTTCTTTTTCTAAAAGGGCCAAAATTCAGCCCTAACTGGTTTGGCTCAGTGGATAAGGTGTCAGCTGCGGACTAAAGGGTCAGAGATTGGATTCTGCTCAAGGGAATTTACCTTGGTTGCAATCTCAATCTCCAGTAGGGGGCATGCAGGAGGCAGCTAATTGATGTTTTTAATTCTTTATCCTTCTCCCTTCCTCTCAGTAAAAATCAATAAAATATAAAATGAATAAATCCTATATAATAAAAGGGTAATATGCAAATTGACCAAATGGCTAAATGACTGGTCGCTATGACACGCACTGACCACCAGGAGGCAGATGCTCAATGCAGGAGCTGCCCCCTTGAGGTCAGTGTGCTCCCACAGTGGGAGTGCCACTCAGCCACAAGCTGGGTTGATGGCTGGTGAGTGCAGCAGCAGTGGCAGGAGCCTCTTTGTGGCAGTGTTAAGGATGTCTGACTGCAGCTTAGACCCACTCCTCACTAAACTATCAGTTGGACATCCTCCGAGGGCTCCTGGACTGCTAAGTGGCACAGGCCTTACTGAGGGACCTTCCCCCCTACCCCCCAGTACACAAATGTTGTGCACCAGGCCTCTAGTAAATAATAAAAGGGCCAAAATTCAAATGCTAAAGTGCTGTTGTAGTAAAGTAATTCCTTTTATGTAGGCAGAGTTATATGTTACCATTTATTAGAAGAAAGCAATATGGGTTTAAGGAGAATTTACTTTATTAAGGTGATATGAGCAAATGTAAAAATGCAATTATATATAGGAAACAGTGAAATGAAAATCACTTTTGGATCTTATTAACCTTATATATAGGAAAGTTTAAAACAAATATAGAGCCCTGACTGGTTTTCTCAATAGTTAGATTGTCAGCCCCATGCACTGAAGGTTTGCAGGTTTGATTCCCCATCAAGGGCACATACTTGGGTTGTTGGTTTGATCCCTTGCCCCAAATGGGGCATGTGTGGGAGGCAATCAATCAATGTGTCTCTCTCACATCGAAGTTTCTCTTTCTTTCCCTGTCCCTCCTTTCAAGTCTTTCTAAAACTCAATAGAAAAGCCCTAATTGTTTTGGCTCAGTGGATAGAGCGTTGGCCTGCAGACTCAAGAGTCCCAGGTTCGATTCTGGTCAAGGGCATGTACCCCCAGTGGGGGTTGTGCAGCAGGCAAGTGATTGATTCTCTCATCAATGTTTCTAGCTCTCTCTCCCTCTCCCTCCCTGTAAAAAAATCAATAAAATACATTTTAAAAATCAATGGAAAAAATATCCTTAGATGAAGATTTACAAAAAATAAAAATAAATAAATATGGAGAGGAGATAACAATATAGGTGTTGGGAAATAAGACAATAGAAGGTATGGTTGTGGATTTCAAAGTATTTTATGAAGCCTTCTGGGGGCCCTTGCAGAGGTGAGGACAGGATAAGTGGGTGGGGTTTATTAGTTCCTCTCCACTGCTCTACTTTCACATATGTGATATATTGATGTTTCATGTAAGATTTGAAAAAAATTTGTTTGCCAAAACAAACAAAACTTGTGCAAGTTATTGGGACTGGGAATAGAATAACTGAGATGTATAAGATAAAAAAATTCTGTTTCCAATTAAAAAAAAATAATTTTTAGGGAGGGAGGGAGGAAGAGAAAGAGAAGGAAGCATTGATTTGTTCCACTTATTTATGCATTTATTGGCTGCTTCTTGTATGTGTCCTGACCAGATATCTAACCTGAAGCCTAATGTATTGGAATGATGCTAACTAACTAAGCTGTCCCGCCAGAGCCCTGTTTCCAATTTATTTTTAAAAAATATATTTTTATTGATTTCAAAGAGGAAGGAAGAGGGGAAGAGAGATAGAAACATCAATGATAAGAGTCATTGATTGGCTACCTACTGCATCTTCCTATTGGGATTTGAACCTGAAACCAGGGCATGTGTCCTGATTGGAAATTGAACTGTGACCTCCTGATTCATAGGTCGACACTCAACCACTGAGCCAAATCAGCTCGGCCCTATTTCCAGTTTTGATACAAACTATTTATAGCTTTGAGCAAACCATTTCACTCTATATCTCAATTTATCCATCTGTTAATTTTAATTCAGACTTGAGTGCTCTAAAGAACAATATTATATAGGTTTTTGAAAAAGTATTGTTTTGGAGTCCTTTTCTAGTGTATAAGAAAAATAGACATTTTCTCTCTGCAAAGTAAATGATATTTAAAAAATTCTTATTTTTGATGAATATTATTTATTTATTGTTCTCTAGACTGAATACTGATATAATTATTTTTGAAATTGGTATCTCTGGTGGTTAGGCACCTGAATAAATTTTTCTTCAGAAATCTTTTTTTTCCTTTAGTATTGCTTTTATTTTCAGCACTTTTTTTCTACTCAAAGGTAAGTACTTAAAAAAAAAAAATATATATATATATATATATATATATATATTTTTAATTGATTTCAAAGAGGAAGGGCGAGGGAGAGAGAGATAGAAACATCAATAATGAGAGAGGATCACCAATTTGCTGCTTCCTGCATGCCCCACACTGAGGATCAAGCTTGTAACCCAGGCATGTGCCCCTGACCAGGAATCGAACCTGAGACCCTATAGCCCACAGGCTGATGCTCTATCCACTGAGCCAAGCCAGCCAAGGCAAAGATAAATATTTTTACTTTTAAGACATGTTAAGATGTTTCCTTTATAGAATCTAAATGATATCTGATGTAATTTTCAAATGGCAAATTGTAAAGCAGAGGTCTTTTAGTTTTTAAGAAATATTGAACTCAACATATATCCTGTTTTATCAGTCAAGAAGAAATATTCTAGTAGATTTTAGCCAATTTAGAAATAAATAAGTGTGATTATCAGAAATACACTTTTGAAAGTTGTTAAGTGCTATTACTAATACCTTAAAAATAAGTATCTATTGATGAACTAGATTTATTTTTTGTCGTTGATCCTCACCTGAGGATATTTTCCATTGATTTTTGGAGATAGTAGAAGGGAGGAAAAGAAACAGAGAGAGATAAACATTGATGTGAGAGAGACACATTGATGATGCTTCCCGCATGCACTCTGCAGGGCTGGGATGGAGTTTGCAACTAAGGTAGTGTCTTTGTCCAGAATCAAACTTGCTACCATTCAGTCCATGGGCTGATGTTCTGTTCACTGAACAAGACTGGGTAGAGATAGAATTATTTAAAAAATTTAAAAATATATATATGTTTTTCATCTTTAGAGAGAGAAGAGGAAGAGGGATAGAGGGATAGAAACTTTGGTGAGGGAGAAACATCATTGATTGGCTGTCTCCTGTACACCCTTTGCTGGGTTTCAAGCTCACACCCCATGTCCTGACTGGGAATCAAATCAGTGATCTCTTGGTTCATGGGTCGACCAACCACTGAGCCACACTGCTGAGCATTAATTAGAATTATTATAAAGGTTCATGGCAATATTTAAAAAAATATATATATTTTATTGATTTTTTTACAGAGAGGAAGGGAAAGAAATAGAGAGTTAGAAACATCGATGCGAGAGAAACATTGATCAGCTGCTCCTGCACACCCCTTACTAGGGATGTGCCCACAACCAAGGTACATGTTCTCGACCGGAATCGAACCTGGGACCTTTCAGTCTGCAGGCCGATGCTCTATCCACTGAGCCAAACCACTTTCGGCATGGCAATATTTTTTAAGATGAAGATACCACCCACTCTCCTTTTTCTTTCTTGCTCTGTTTGTAAGTAGCTGTTTTTCTTTGTAAGGCTGTTTTTTCTGCTACACTTTTCTATCTATTAGATGTCCTTTGATTGTTTTTATCTGCTGGGTTGTTAATGCATATATGTGTGTACATATGTTTCAAATCATTTCATTCTGAAGGATACTATTTTAGCCTGATAGACAAACTATCAATATGATTTATTATGACCCACAGTAGCATCAAACAGTTCAGGGAAGGAAGTGAAGGGACTGATATATGCAAGTAAAGCTTCAAGGAGAATATAAGTAGGTAGACTGTATAGTATCTGCTGAAGTTTAGGATTTACAAACATGGAGCATTTAGTATAAGTTTTCTAAAAAAAAAAAAAATACTAAGCTTACCTGGATGGGAATATATCAGGAAGGTAGTACATAACTACCTTTTAAATTTATTGGGGTGAAATTGGTTATATAAAATCTTATTAAAAAGGTCACCCCTGATATCTCAGCATCACTGTAGTATTGATTTTATTTAGACTTGTATAAAAGAAAGATACTCATGTCATCATAACCTTTATTCTGAAATATCTAGACCAGCACTTTCTAATAGATATAATGAAAGTAACATGTATATAATTAAATTTTTTTGCAGCCATATAAAAAGTAAATTATGATTTTTAATAATATATTTTATTTAACTTAAATATTAAAATATAGTTTTAATATATACTCAATATAATGACTTATTAATGAGATACTTTACATTTTTTTTACTTTGAAATCTGGTGTGTATTTACACTTTCAGCACATCACTAGCCACATTTCAAATGCTTATTAGCTACATGTGGCATCTAGATTTTATCATGGCATGTGTCAAAATCCTAAGTTAAAATAGGATCAGTGTGGCCTTTAGGGCCATATCTAATTGGATATAAATTCCTACATTGCTCCTGCCAGCTATGTGGATTTGGGATAGTGTCTTAGCTTTTCTGAGCTTTAGTTTCCTAATCTATAAAATGATAATATGAAATATGTGAAAGGTAAATAAAATAAAAAAAAGAAAGAAAAATGTGAAAAATAAAACCTAACAGTAGGCTGCCAATAAGTGGTAGCTGTTACCAGTCATCTATATTCACAGGCTGAAGAAATCACAGAGTTGAGTAGTCAGAGCAGAAAATACCTTTGAGATGGATTTTAAAATAAGACTACTCTCATTTTTACATATGTATATGTAAAAGTTACTGTTCAACTGTCCAGCCAGTATCTGTAACACGCATTGACCACCAGGGAGCAGACGCTCAATGCAGTAGTAGAAACCACAGGCATGGAAACCTGGAACAGACTGATTAATCTCAGAGGGAAGGGGGAGGGCAGGAAGAGATTAATCAAATATCTTATATGCATACTAGAGGCTCGGTGCATGGATTCACACCCTCTCGCAATCCAGGACCCCTTGGGGGATGTTGGAAAGCCCAGGCCCTGCAGGCGAGGCTGAGGGACCCCATAAGTGCACGAGTCCTTGCACCAGGTCTCTAGTATGTTGGTAATTTGCCCACAAAAGGAGCTTACATTTTACTAAATTTATTATCCAAGCTGTTCATTCCTTCATATGTTACTTGATTATTGAGTGTTTTGTTGTTATTGTTAATTTGCACATGAAACCAAGACTTAAAATATAGTACTTGTATTCACTCAATAAATTATTGAGTCCCACACTGCTGGTGTGGTTTAGCAGTTGAGCCTCCACCCAGGAAAAAAGAGGTTGCAGGTTCAATTCTCAGTCAGGGAACATACTCAGGTTGCGGGCTTGATCCCCAGTAGTGTGCAAGAGGCAGCCAATGGATTATGTTCCTCTCTCATTGATGTTTCTATCTCTCTATCCCTCTCCTTTCCTCTTTCTCTAAAAACCAATAAAAACATATTAAAATTATTAATTGAGCATTGTTGTTGCTCAGCGATTTGAATTTTGGCATAACTAAAACATTCATGGAAATAATCAGAAAGGCTTCTCTCTCTGTCCTCTAGGATTTTATGTTATAAGACACCAAATTAAAAATAGAGCTCGGTTTATTGGACTTGTTTATTCCAACTTCTTGTATCCTCAATTTGAAAAATGTTCCAGTGACATGTCTCTTTAATTTTTAAAAAATATATATTTTATTGATTTTTTTTACAGAGAGGAATGGAGAGGGAAAGTTAGAAACATCCATGAGAGAGAAACATCGATCAGCTGCCTCCTGCACGCCCCCTACTGGGGATGTGCCGGCAACCAAGGTACATGCCCTTGACCGGAATCAAACCTGGGATCCTTCAGTCCACAGGCTGATGCTCTATCCACTGAGCCAAACCAGTTAGGGCCCAAATGTTTATGTTTATCTACAATATAGAAATACTGTTGGGTAACTTTAATGCAATTATAAAAATTTATTACTACTTTTTATTACTACTTGTTATGTTAACTGATTTCCAGACTGGTAACATGATTTTCAGCCTCTTCAGAATGCTTGAAGAAAAGTGTATACCAAATGTAAAAGGCCATATCTCAATACAAAACAATATGTTGAATTATCTGTATTAGTTTTGCAAAAAGTTCATACAACATTAGAATAATGACTGTATATTTATTCACCTGGAAATTTAGAATTTTTCTACTTAGTGACACAGACTTTAAAAAAAAATTTCTACAGGCCAGTGACATATCAGTCATATCGGGAATGTACTCTGGAGATCACAGTTCATGCCAGCGGCTGGAATAAGGTATTAACAAAATTATCTCTTCTCTTATAAGATTTTAGTGTCTTAATGATAAAGTACGGGAGGAATTGCTAGCATCCTATAAGAGAAAACTGTTAGAGTCATTATTTGATGCATAAGCCCATTATTTTGATGTGTAAAGTGATTATTTTTTTTGAGAACACGATCCATATTTTATTTACATTTTAAGACTAACTTTAATCTCAAAAATCACATATCCACTCACCAATTTCCTTTTGGTTGATTTCACTTCAACTTAAATGCATGGATTGTCAAACAAAGATGGTAAACAAATATTTTCCATGTCTGTTACATGTAACACACAAAAACAGCTTTCAACAGAAATTCATTGACCTTCCCCATGACATCTTTTTTATTATCAATACTGTTATCAAAACAATCCTGAATACATATATATATATATATATATACATACATACATATACATATACATATATATATGTATGTATATATATATATATATATTTTTTTTTTTTTGCAAAATATGTTTTATTGTTTCCCCCCCCATTGCTCCCCTCCACCAGGTTCCTACCCTCCCCCCTCCCCATACTTACCCCCCCGTACTTACCCCCCATACTTAACTCCATAGGTGTACACTTTTTCTTCAGTCTCTTCCCACACCCCACACTCCCCTTTGCCCCTGAGGATTGTCAGTCCACTTCCTTTCTATGCTCCTGATTCTATTATATTCAACAGTTAATACTGTTCATCAGATTTTTTACTCCCTTGGTTTTAGACTCACTTGTTGATAGTTACGTATTTGTTGTTCATAATTTTTATCTTTACCTTTTTCTTCTTCTTCTATCTCTTAAAGAATACCTTTCAGTATTTCATGTATTCCTGGTTTGGTGGTGATGAACTCCTTTAGCTTTTTCTTATCTGTGAAGCTCTTTATCTGACCTTCAATTTTGAATGATCGCTTTGCTGGGTAGAGTAATCTTGGTTGTAGGTTCTTACTATTCATCACTTTGAATATTGCTTGCCACTCCTGTTTGGCCTGCATAGTTTCTGTTGGGAAATCAGCTGACAATCGTATGGGTGCTCCCTTGTAGGTAACCAACTGTATTTCTCTTGCTGCTTTGAATATTCTCTCTTTGTCTTTTGCTCTTGGGATTTTAAATATGATGTGTCTTGGTGTGGTCCTCTTTGGATTCCTTTAGATTGGAGTTCTGTGTGCTTCCTGGACTTGTAAGTCTATTTCTTTCACCAGCTGGGATAAGTTTTCTGTCACTATTTCTTCAAATAGGTTTTCAGTATCTTGCTCTCTCCTGGCATACCCATAATTCTGATATTGTTATGCTTGAAGTTGTTCCAGAGGCTTCTTACACCATTTTTAATGTTTTGGATTCTTTTTTCTTTTTTAAAACAGAAGTGCAACCATTTCTTTATTAAATTATACAAAAAGGGGAGGAGAGGGTACAGCTGTGGGGCTTCGTCTGGCGCTGTCTCAGAGAAGGGGGTCTGAAGGAGACCCAGGGATCAGGCAGGGTAGGGATGGGCAGGACAGAAAAGTATGATGTAGAGGTTCCGAAGGAGAAGCTATTGGAGGAGGGGTGGGAGTGAGGGAGGAAGAGAAAAAGAGGGAAAGGGGGCAATTGGGGACCAGCTGGGGAGCTCAGATGAAACAGTTCAGGAGGTGGAACAGTGGCAGAATAAGGATGGAAGGTGGGAATGAGAGGTAGGAATGAGAAGAGGTGGGAATGAGAAGGCTGGGGAGAAAGTGGGCAGTAGCTCTGGTGCAAGGCCTAGAGCAAGGATTCAGGTGAAAAGTGGCTACACAGAACTGTTCCTGCCCCATCCCAGGCTTTGAGGGGCCTCATTCCCCAGTCCATTGGCAGAGGGCTCATGCTGATGCCCCATTTTCTGTCTTCGGCCGCTTGGGATCAGCTTCATCCCCTCTTCAGCAGCTCTCTTCAGCGCGGGCCCCTTGTTACTGTCATCTTCTTCTTCCTCATCTTCTTCTTTGTCCTCAGCAGTTTCCTCTTCTTCCACCTTAGCTCCATTCTCCTCCTCCTCCACCATTTCTTTCTTTCACTCTTTCCAGCTTGCCTTCTCCTCCACCTTCTCTTTCTTCTCCTCCAGGTCCTTGGTGCTCAACTTGGCCGCTGCCTCCATGTTCTTCTCCGACATGGTGCTGGGGCTGGCGGGGATCCAGGGTCCTGTGGTTGGGCTGGAGAGGCACTGGACGGTGGGAGGTGGCTGTGGCTGGAACCTGGTGTGGTGGTGGCAGTGGCAGTGGCAGTGGCAGCGGCAGCCGCTCAGCCTGGATTCTTTTTGCTTTTCCGGAGAAGTAATTTTTGCTTCTTGGTATTCTAAATCTTTGACTTGATTCTTGCGATCCTCTAGTCTGCTTTTAGGTCTCTGTGTAATATGTTTTATTTCAGTCAGTGTATGCTTAATCTCTAGTTGATCCTTTTTCATATCCTTGAGGGTCTCATTTAATTTATTGGCCTTTTCTGGGAAATTCTTGAAAAATCTTATAACTGTGGTTTTGAACTCTATATTCAGTCTTATGCTTTCCTCCATTTCCTTCAATTATGGCCTGCCTTTTTGTTTCCGCATTTTAGTTGCTTCCCTGAGTTGATGGAGTTGCTTTGTGTACTAGGTGTCCTAGCAGGGCCCAGTAGCTCAGCCTCCCCAGTTACCTGAGGTGGACACTTTTGGTGCACCGGGTTGTGTGTGCAGTCTTGTTGTTGTCCAGCCTTAATGGTTGTTGGTATCATTGGGAGAGTTGACCTCCAAGCCAATTGGCTCTGAGGATCAACAGTGTTTCCTCTGGGAGAGCTTCTGTGCTCAGCTTGGATTGGGCAGAGTCTCAGGGTAGTGCAGACAAGCCTTGGTTTCCCGTCAGCCCCGCCCTAAGAGGGCCCTGTTCTCAGTGTCCCACATCAATGGCTGCATGCACCTCAGAGAAATCTGCTCTCGAGTTTTGCCCGCTGCCAGACAGTCCAGTTTCTCCCCAACCAGAGCTGGATTTCAGTGCAGCCGTGAAGTTTTGTTTTCCTCCCAAATGAGAAAGCTAGACACATGTTTGCTGCTCGCTTTCTCTGTGCACCGTGAATAAGCCAGCTGCGTATTCGGCCTCCCGCCCTTTCCGTGCGCACGGGTCTCTGTACCTCCACAGTTTTTGAGTTTCAGCGTCCTCCTCTCTTTACTTCTAGATGCAGAATTTCCACTCAGCCAGCCTTCCTGTGACTCTGTATTCCTGTTGTAGTTTTAAATTTGTTGTTGTAGGCAGCAGTCTAAGTGTTTACCTTATGCCACCCTCTTGGTTTCTCACTGAACATATTTTTGATACTATTGGTAGTTAGGACCCACACCACTATTAAAATAATTTGAGACAATATTCATTCTATCTGCTGCTTTAGACAATTTAAATTGAAGCTCTTTCACTAGTCAAAATGGATAAAGCATGCCATTTCTCTTTTTCCTTCTTGAGATTTTTATTTTTTAGTAAAAATCACCATACTTTTATCTTGTTAAACCTGAATTCTATTTTTAATGCTCCAGGTTTATGTTTGCTTGTTTATTTATTTATTTGTTTATTTTTTAATAAATCTTTATTGTTCAGATTATTACGTTTGGTCCTCTTTTCACCCCCGATAGCTCCCCTCCACCCAGTTCCCACTTTACCCATGCCCTTAATCCCTGACTGTCCTTGTCCATAGGTGCAAAATTTTTGTCCAATCTCTTCCCACACCCCTCACATCCCCTTTCTCCTGAGAATTGTCAATTCACTCCCTTTCTATGCTCATGATTCTATTATATTCACCAATTTATTCTGTTCATCAGAATTTTTAAAAAACTTATTTTGAGACTATGCCTATTTATTTATTTTTTTAACGTATATTTTATTGATTTTTTTACAGAATGGAAGGAAGAGGGCCAGAGAGCTAGAAACATCGATGAGATAGAAACATCGACCAGCTGCCTCCTTCATACCGTATTTTTCGGACCATAAGACGCACTTTTTTCCCCCCAGAAGTGGGGGGAAAAAGTCCCTGCGTCTTATGGTCCAAATATAGCCTACACATATACTTTAAAAAAAGTTTTTTTACTTGCCCGGCTCTGTGTGGTCTCTGTGCTTGCCCAGCTCTAAAATGGTTCTAAATGCTACTGTTTACTTTACAGGGTTGATTACATGTGTTTATGACTGTGATGTTGGGTTTTAATGCACATAAAATATTTTAGGACACTATTTGTTTCAGAATCTTTTTTTCTTCATTTCCCTTCTCTAAAAACTGGTGCGTCTTATGGTCCGGAGCGTCTTATGGTCCGAAAAATACAGTACCCCCTACTGGGGATGTGCCTGCCCTTGACCGGAATCGAACCTGGGACCCGTCAGTCCGCAGACCGATGCTCTATTCACTGAACCAAACCAGTTTTGGCCAGATTTTTTATTCACTTGATTTTTAGATTCACTTGTTGATAAATATGTATTTGTTATCACTTTGTTGTTCATAATTTTTATCTTTACCTTTTTCTTCTTTCTCTTCTTAAAGAATACCTTTCAGCATTTCAGATAATACTGGCTTGGTGGTGGTGAACTCCTTTAGCTTTTTCTTATCTGTGAAGCTCTTCATCTGACCTTCAATTCTAAATGATAGCTTTTCTGGGTAGAGTTACCTTGCTTGTAGGTCCTTGCTATATTCATCACTTTGAATATTTCTTGCCACTCCCATCTGGCCTGCATAGTTTCTGTTGAGAAATCAGCTGACAGTCATATGGGTACTCTTATAGGTAACTAACTGTTTTTCTCTTGCTGCTTTTATTTACTTACTTATTTTTATTATTATTATTTTTTAAAATAAATCTTTATTGTTCATATTATTACAAATGTTCCTCATTTTTTCCCTCTCCATTGCTTCCCTCCACCAGGTTCCCACCCCACCCTCTGCCCTTTCCCCACCCCCCCACTGTCCTCATCCATAGGTGCACAGTTTTTGTTCAGACTCTTCCCGCACCCCCACTCCCCTTTTCCC